GTACACAGGTAAGCTGAGGTCAAGGGATCGACCCCTGGGATCTGCATCGGCTACTGCCAAAGGTGAAAACTGTTTCAGCAGAATCCAAAGGAAAGGAGAGGTGCACTGCACCATCTTTTTTCTTTGCGCTTCTGGTCATTGTCAGAGAGAATAGCATTTCCTCTGGGTGTCTTGTGCTCTTGTGCTTTCTGTGGGCCAAAGGGCAACCTCTTATGCTTCCTTTCTCTATTCTCTCATGATCTTTATGGAAACGATTGGCAAAAGCCTGCAGAGACATCCCTTGACCATATCAATCGGCCATCTGAGGAGATTTGTAGAAGTGCCATCTCCATGTTGCCTTAAGGGAGCCGCAGCAATTATGTTGGAAATCCGTTGGTCCATCTAATTGTTCAGGAATGGAAAACCACGACCCTGTTTCCCCTCCTCCATGTTATCTCCAGAGGATAACTGTCTAACAAACAGGTGTGCGCGTGCAGTGACAGTATCTGGCTGAAGGGAGATTCAAACACAGAGTGTGTGCATGTGTGTGTGCACGTGTGTGTAAGATATATACTACTCAGGATGCATCCCTAAACGTTGAGGGATTGGAACATGATCTGCCCGGATTGCAGTTGACCCCACAAGGCATAGACCACATGGGGGATCTGCAAATGGGTGACCAGCATTGTTTGGATAAACCACAATTTTGTGCTCCGCCATGCGCAGACCACATTGGTGATCTGCAAATGACTGACCAGCAAACAACCCAACACAGTTTGGGCTTGCAACACCATCTGGGCGATCTGCAAATTGTTGGCGAGCATCCAACAAACCAGCCTGAGAACCTCACCAATCTCTGTGGTCTGGCAGCAATTAATATCTGTCTTCACATTCTCCACCACCCGTTTTATACACCATCAGACTTCCTTGCAATCGCCCTTCAGCTTGATGCTGATCTTCCCCAACGACAGCCAGAGGATTGTAATTATACCAGCGAAGGAGGCTTTACCATTGCTGTCCTACAAGTAGCAATGAGGGACCGTCAACTTGAACCACGCAATGCTCAAGCAGGTGAGTGGTTTAATCCTCCATCCCACCTCTGCCTGCATTGTGCACGGCCCTGGCCATTTCATGGCCATTGTACATGCCTCTGACCACTGGGAGCTGTGGGAGAACGGCACCATGGTCCATGCCATGATTGATGTCACTGATTTCTTACGAAAGGATGCTGTTTTCTTGTCACAACAAACCGTCCGCAATCTCTTTTATGTCGAAGATCATTCCTCTGGCCCCGTGCTGCAGCAAGACAATGTACCAACACTCTGCGACCTTCTCCTTTGCACAGCCACAAACACTGTTACACTCGGCTGTAGCCGTCATCGTCTCTGTCACAATCACTACAATGACATGGTTTCTCCATCCATGTGTGCAGAGGACTGTCCCACCATTCCTGACTGCAGGCACTCTCCGCATCCGGACACTATATGTCCATTTTGAGGCCATGGGTGCTATACTGAATGCATGCTCTTTTGTGGTGACCATTCTTCTTTCATTTTGGCCTGCAATCGACATGCCATTTGTTGGGGGTGTATGGTGGGCATGCTCAATGCCACTCGTCGTGGCAATTGTTGCACTGAGAATGCTCAGCTAGGTCTTCCATGTGTTCATCCACGTCATCCTTACAATGTATGTCCTCTCTGTCGTCAAGGACAGACTCATTCTTGAGCCTTTTCTTATCCTCTTTTGCCTTCATCTTCACTCCACAGAGTCCACACTCCATATTTTCCCTTACTTTCCCTTCATCGTTCTTTGTTTGTCTGCTCTCCATCTCTCCTCCCTGTGTTTATCCCCTCCCCCTTCACTCTGCCTCTTTCTCACAGCGTACAAGTGTGCTGTTATGGCATACGGGGATGGGGGCAGCTCGCRCTCAACTTCATCAACGTGGCGAGCGTTGTACGTGAAAGGCACGGTGACAGGGGAGTCAAAAGAAGAATGAGAAAAATGAATGGTTTCACTGTGCCGTTTTTTGTCTTGTTTTTTTTTTAATTTTTAAGTTTTGCCGTTTGTTTTGCAAATTGCGCTCTTTTAGTTCATAGTTTATGTGACAATACACACACACACACACACACACACACACACACACACACACACACACACAGAGAGAGAGAGAGAGAGAGAGAGAGAGAGAGAGAGAGAGAGAG